ATCATTGTGAGATATATTAATACACCCCTTTGGAGTTAATGGACAAAAGAAAATCAGTAATGAATAGAATATTTGAATAACTCAATAACAAAGATGAACAAATTGACATTTATAAAATATTACATAAAATAATTACAGAACATACATTCTTCTGAACATTCATGAACTGTTTTAAAAAGTTGATTATGGTATACTGGGTTAAAAAGCAAGTCTTAACAGTTCAAAAATACTAGAATTATACAGAGTATGTATTTTGACCCAAATGAAATTAAGCTAGAAATCAACATCAAAATAGAAAATCCAAACTGTTTGGCAACTAAGAAATACATTTCCAAATTATCCATGATTCAAAGGAAGAATTCAAAGGAAATAAGAAAATAATTTGAATGAAATAATAATTAAAAAGCTACCTATGAAAACCTATGGGATGCAGAGAGCAGTGCTTAAAGAGAATGTATAGACTTAAATGCAGATGCAGTGAAATTTGTGAAAGATGGAACCTGTGTAAAGCAGAAACTTGTCTGAGTAGGAAAACTCTAGTATTTTTCACTAAAATAAGTGATAGAAAAGTGGTAAGACTGTACCCTGTCAAAGGCAGAAAACTTGTAAGACTCAGAAAAATAAAACAAGGCAGTCTTGTCAAGTTCTGCCTCTCACAAGTTTCACTGTATTAGAAAAGGAAAGATTAAAAACTAATGAGCTAAAAGCATCTATCTCAAGAAGTCAGAAATAGAACAGTAGCTGAGGGAAAATAATAAAGATAAGAGCAGATATAAATGAAACAGAAAGCGAACATTTGCTAGAGAAAATAACCAAAACCCAAAATTGGTTCTTTGAAATACCTTAGGTAAAACTCAGCAGGAAAAAGAGGGCAAAAATAAAGAAAACATCAGGAATAAAAATGTGGTATCACTTCATATCTTCTAGATATTAAAACTATAAGAGGAGATTTTGAACAACTTTATGTAAATTTGAAATATGAGATGAATTGGAAACATTTCTAGACAAAACTGACATGAGAAGAAATAGAAAATCTGAATGATAATATATATGTTAATTTAAAGGGTAATAAAAACTTAACACAAAGACAACCCCAAGCCCATAATTCCTCATCAACTATTTCTATCAAATGTTTAAGGAAAAAATAACATCAATCATAGACAAACACTTCCAGACAACAGAAAAAGTGCATATACTCTCCAATTTATTTCTTGAGATTTGCATACTTTTGATATAAAAACCTCATGAGGACAATCTGAGAATGAAAAAATGACAAGTCAAATCCCTCATAAGCATACATGTGAAATTCCTTAAAATATATCAACCAAATTAATCCAATAATATATAAAAACAATATGTCCTGACTAATTGGGTTTATTCTTAGATGTCATGATTATTTTAATAGTAGAAAATTTTAATAAATTTCTTAACATACTCAGTAAATCAATAAAATTTTCCACAGAAAAACTGTTTGATTAAAATCTGACATGTTTTCACTGCATAAACCCTTAGCAAACTAAGAATAGATGAAAATTTCCTTAATCCAAAAAAAGTTTTACTGCTAAAAAAAAAAAATACAGCAAATATTTCATTCTAAAATCCTAAGACATTGAAAGATTTTCTCCCTTTATAATAAGAAGGATATATTTGTTATCCCCACTCTTGTTCAATATTGTATTAGAAGACTTGCTAGTATAATTATGTGAGGAAAGAAAATAAAAGATAAAGGCATTGAGAAGAATGAAATAATACTGTCTCTTTTGGGCAGGTGATATGATCATAAGTACTTACAAAATAAACAAAACAAAAAAAATCTACCTGTAGATTATTAGAACTAATAGAGAATCAGTAAGACTACTAGATAAAAGGCCAGAATACAAAATCAATGTTGTTGTTGTTGTTGTTATTTGCCGTTGAGTCGGCCCCGACTCATAGCGACCCCTCCTTGGGTTTCCGAGGCAGAATCACCACGGAAGTAGGATTGCCCAACCTTCCTTCCGAGGAGTGGCTGGTGGGTTTGAACCGCCAGCCTTCTGGTTAGCAGTCAAGTGCCTTAGGCACTATGCTACCAGAGCTCTTCGAAATACTAGCAAAGAACAGAAAATAAAATTTTTAGAAGATACAATTTATAATACCCTCAAAAATATCAAATTGCTAGGAATAAATTTTACAAAATATTTATAAGATGTCTGATCAGAAAACTATAAAAAAAAAATACTTGAGAAGACCTATAGAAATATAAAGATAGTCTATGCACATGGATTGCCAGACTCAAATTATAAAGATGTCAGTACCCTCCACAAATAATCTACAGAGTTAATATAATTCCAATCAGAATCCATCTGGGTGTGTGTGTGTAACATTATAAGCTGATTGTACAGTTTATGTGGAAATGCAGTGGGTCAGGAATTAACCAAGATGTTCTTGGAGAAGATGATTAAGGTGAGAGGACTTGTTCCACTGGACAGCAGGATTTATTATAAAAGCTGCAGTAATTAAAACAGTGTGGTATTAATGCAAGGATCAACAAATAGGTGAGTCCAGAAACAGAACCATGCATATGTGGACACTTGGTTAATGGTGAGAGTGATACTGGAGCAGAGGGGAAAGACCTATATTATTAATAACTTAATAATCAGATATCTATATGGAAAAAACATGTTTAAAGCATATATATATATATATATGTATATATGTATATATATATATAATTTTTGTAGTCTCAAAAGAAAGATTTAAACAGGGCAAAACATATTGTCTGTAAAGGAAAATGATTAAATTTAATTGTGCAAACATTAAAAACTTCTGTTTACTGAAAACAAAAAGTCACAGAGTAGAAAAATAAACTACAGAGTAAAAGATATTTACCACACATACAACGACCAAATGGTTCAAATTCAGAATGTATTAAGAATTACAAATCAAGAAAAAGACAAGCCAAAATAAAATAGGTAAAAGAGTTAAACAGAAATCCCCTAAAAGATGAAATCTAATTGGCTGATAAATATATGAAAAATTGCTCCATTGCATTAGTAACAGAGAAATGCACATTAAACTGAGATACTATTACATGCGCCTAAGAGTGACAAACATTAAAAAGCCTGCCAATACCAAGTGTTGGTGAAAATGTGGCCTTAGTACAGGAACTGTCCAAATTCTGGTAGGAGTTTGAATGGGTGCATCTGCTTTGAAACACAGTTGTCATTATTTAGCAAAGTTGAAGAATAAATATATCCTGTGACCAAGCTTACTGTTGTTGTGGTCAATTCAATTCTGACTCAATCAGAATGTGATCTCATGTGTGTTCCATAAGGTTGTCAAGGCCATGACCTTTTGGAAGCAAATTGCCTGGACCTTTGGGTGGGTTCAAACCACCAACTTTTCATCTGGTAGTCAAGCACTTACCCATCTGCACCATGCAGGGCCTTGATGATCAAGCTGGAAGTAATTATTTCTGTACACCAAGATGCATGCACAAGTGTTTGTAACGACATTATTGCAATAGACTCAAACTGAAAAACTCTGAATACTTATCAACTGTAGCATGGGTAAATAAGTTGTGATTTAGTAATATGGTGGAATACTGTAAAGCAATAAAAAAAAATACACGACATGGATGAATCTCAAAAACACGATGTTGAGCAAAATAATCCAGACAAGAGAATACATACTGAATGATTTCACTTAACGTTCTGTTCAGACAAAACAAAACTCACCTTGATTATTTAGGGATTTATATTTAGGTGATAAAACTAAAAGAAAAGACAAAGATTGTGGTTGCCTATAGCAGGGTGGGAGTTGTGATTGAGAAGGGACACCCAGGAGGGCTTTGGAGGTGCTGACAGTTTCTATTTTTTGATCGGGGTGGTGGTTACCAAAGTATTTGCTTTATAATCATTCATTAACCTATTCGTTTTATGCACTTTCATATGTCTATGCTAAAATATTTTGCAATAAAAGAAAAAGTTTGAAACATTGAGTTTGCTTTAGGATTCGGCCTGGTTTATGGCTCACTGGCTAGTAGGTTCAGCTCCCACCCCAGATGGTCATGCATGCTGACAATGGATGGCCATTCTCCTTAATCCAAGGTCCTGCTGAAATTAACCTCTGTTTAGAGTCAGAAGAAACTGAAAATATATTACTCAGAAAAGGGAGCAGATGGCACAGGTCTTGTGTGTTCGCCTCACAGAAGACATTTGTTATATCAGCTTAACTCTGCATAGAGCCTGTGCATGAGGAAAACCACATTGCAGATACCCAGGCATTGATTTTACCTTCTCTTTGAAGCTTTATACACATATCAGTCATTGGTTCGTTTGTTCTTGTCTTTTCTTTTTTTTAAATTGTGGTTTGGGTGAAAGTTTACAGAACAAATTAGTTTTCCACTCAGTTTATACACATTTTGCTTTGCAATGTTAGCTGCAATTCCCTCAATGTAACAGCACTCTTCCCACTTCCTCCCTGGGTTCCTGTATCCATTAGTTCTTCTTTCTTGCAATTAGAACTTTCTCTAGAGGGGCCTTGTGCTACAAATTGTTTTTTATTATGTGGTAAAACCTGTGAAAGCCAGAACCTGTGTGAAGCAGAAACCTGTCAGAGAAGGAAAATGCAAATATTTCCCACTAAGTAGAGAGCAATAGAAAAGTGGTGACTGCATCCTTTCAAAGGCAGAAAACATGTGAGACCTGAAAAAAACAAGGCAGTCCTGTCACGGGCTTCACTGTACTAGGCATGTTGGAGAGGTTCATTCTTCTCATTTGTTGGCACTATGTTTGCCTCATTTTTCAAAGCACTGACCTGTCAGTTCACAAGGTGACCTGACAGTGTGGCCGTGCACACCTCCTTTCTGGAGCATGGACAGTTGGGTTTAGGAGGAATTAGGAAGCCTCAGACTGGCCCTGGGTGGTGTCCCTTGAAGTTAAGGTACCTCCACAGAAGGTGTATTTGTACCTCCTTTCCCAATTAGAAGGCCCTCTTCTAACAGCATTGGTTTTCTTCAGATTTCTGTTGAGGAACTGGAACGGAATCTAGTGATCAAAGTCAACAAGGATGCTGTTATGAAAATAGCAGTGGCTGGGGATCTGTTTCAGCTGGACAGAGGACTGTATCATTTGAATTTTACAGTGGGAGGCATTCCCTTTAAAGATAAAGACCTCATCCAACCTGTAAGTACTGTCACCAACCACCGGGGTAAGAACACAGTGCACAGTGCATTTGAGAGCCTGGGATCCATGTCAGGACAAGACTTAGCCATGAGCTGACATATGTTTACTATTAATCTTGGCAAAACACCTAGAGGAATGCAAAAGTTACCTAGAATTTATGAAGCAAAACTATATTATTAACTATATGAGATGCTTCTTATCATCTTTTTTTGTGAGACTCAGTTAAATTTTCATCTGAACATAATAATGTCTGTTTTGCAGTAGGGATAAAACAATGAAATTATTCTCCAACTAAAAGAAAAATTAACTTTTTTGGACTATTCCTGAGGACATCTAGGGATGTTAGGCCTGCCAAGATTTCCACAGTGGGGGATGGGAGGAGAGCCTTAATGGGGACGTCAGTATAGGTCATTTTTCAACACCTTGCCTTTCATCACTTGTTTCCCATACCACATATCCCCAGCATACTGATGTAAACAGCTAGAGTCTCTGATAGTGTGGTTATAATTTCCACAGCAAACACAAGAAATAAAAGTCATGAACATCTCTAGGCCCAGATGGTGGGCATTCTCTTCAGGGGATTGTGAAGAGGCGTGTCCTCCATCTGTCCTCTAGGTCAGACTCATCGTTTCTGGTCTTCAGTCTATTAGTGACTGTTCGCACCTCTCACAACTTCGCATTCTACACATAAAGGGGTTAAGGTGACCCAATTTGTTCAAAACCATGTAACAAGTATATGGCAGAGGTGGAATCAGCATTCATAGCCCCTGGATTTATGTTTCCCATATCTGTATTAAACAAAATTACTTTTTTTAGGTGCCAGGTAAACAATAATAGGCACAATGATTGTATAAATGTCACCGCTTCCCATATGTGTTCAGATAGGTGGTCAGTGCTTTTTATTTTTATTTTATAAATGGAGAAGAGAAAATGCAGACAAAGAAGATGGGCTTTCCTTAATGTCATACACTATTCTTAACATGCATGCTTGCATTCAGAGGTATTCTGCAGTAAATCATTTTATACAGTGAAGAGCTTTTTTGTGAAACAAGTAACCGCTACTAGTAGGAATTATCCATTTTTGTAAAGGGAGATTTCCACATGCCCAGTTTGAGCTGAAGGTACCCTGTTCCTGGCATGATTGAGGACTCTGCTTATCTGTTCAAGGGTGTCACCATTCATCTGGTTCATCTGACACCTTGTTAGGATATCTGGAAGCATATATGGCTCCCAGGAAGCTATTGGGATTTCTCTCTTTCCAGATAAACCCTCGCCTGGATGGTTGTATGAGGAGTTGGAACTGGTTGAATGGTGAAGACACTACCATCCAAGAAACAGTAAAAGTGAACACTAAAATGCAATGCTTCTCCGTGACGGAAAAAGGGTCTTTCTATCCTGGGAATGGATTTGCTTTCTATAGCCTCAATTATAGTAAGTCTTTAGGTCGAGATAGTTAGGTTGCACTTTCAGCCAAGTATACATTAAATAAACAAAACTAAAGAAAAACAACTACCTTGGATGACAATGTCAGGGATAAGTTGATGCCCACAACAGCTTTCAAGGGCAGCAAACAGCAGGGATGAGGGCAGAGGCTCCATCTCTCAAGGTGGCAGCTCATGGTCTTGTTGAGTTTCAAATTAGCCAATAACACAGAAACAACAGTGACCTTGAGAGAAGACAGCAAGACATGCCAGTGGCTGTGATAATGCAGGCCAGGTAGGATGTGAAGGCTTTAAGAAGGTACTTTACAAAAAGTTCTAAGACATGACAAGCTTAGTTTTTTTCGAAATAGGTTGAGAATCTCTTTTCCAAGTAAATTGAGAAGCTCTTAAAAATGAATTTGACGTTGCAATCAATGATTCAAAGAGAAATAAATAGGGAGACAGCATCTAAAAATAGTGTGACAGCCAAAAGAGCCTGGTGAGCTCAAGTTTAAAAAGAAAAAAGAACAAGCAAGGGAAAAGGGTTCAGGAACATTTAACCAAGAATGAATGTAAGCAGGTTCATAATACTGTCAGGAGGCAATAAAAGGGCCTCTCTTTTGTACCTAGAGGGCAGAAAAAGAAAGAAAAAGACCATGACTTCTTGAAATTGGTGGCGTAAAACCAACATGGAGCAGAAAGATGGTGGGAAATGGGACAGATTAGAGGAGAGGCAGCTATAGGGTAGGCTGGGGAATCCTAAACTCTGTTGCTGTTTTTACTTGCCATCGAGTTGATTCTGACTCATGATGACCCCATGAGTGCTGAGTAGAACTGCTCCATAGGGTCAAAGCAGTGACCCTTCGGGAGAGTGCCAGGCCCATCTTCCAAGTCATCACTGGGTGCAGTCAAACTACCATCCTTTTGGCTAGTAGTCGAGCACTTAACCATTTGTGCCACCTGGGAACTCCTAAGATCTATTAGAGATGGATTAAGTTGAGATACCTTTTGGACCTTAGGTGGAGATGTTGAGGGCTTGGGCCCAAAGTAGGGTTGGGGAATCATTATTCAGATGGACACTAAGCCAAGGGTGTGGATGAACTTACTTAGGGCGTGAATATAGGTAGAGAAAAGGCAGAAAAGCAAGCTCATAGGCCCTTCCAGTTTTTATAAAACAGAGCTCTTCATTTCTTAAAACAAAACAACACAACTATATCTTTACTTTTATTAGTAAAATTGGTGAAAATTTATAGTAAAAACATAATCCCAATATGCTAATAAAATGAGCCTCTTAAACGTAACATTTATATGCATTGAGTTAACACCCCAAATCATGGTTAGTTAGCAGTTGTTCAATAATAGAAACATGCACTATTCTGAGAAATTTCTGTGTAAATAATTCAAATTAGTGATAGAAGATTAAACAATTTGTATTGTTTGACTTTGGACACACATGATTTTCTGTAATGTTTTCTTTACATACCAAAACCAAATCAAACTCACTGCCGTCAAGTCGGATCCGACTCGTAGTGACCCCTCCTTGGGTTTCTGAGGCAGTATTGCCACGGAAGTAGATTGCCCAATCTTCCTTCCAAGAAGTGGTGGCTGTGGGTTTGGACTACCAGCCTTCTGGTTAGCAGTCAAATGCCTTAGGCACTACGCCAATTAACATTCATTTCTTGTGTCCAATAAGTCTGGTTATCCTGGAGACATTTTTATTACTCTACCATCCATGTCTTCACACTCCCATCCTGCATGAGTCCCACTGAAAACCAAACCAGGCTCACTGCCATCAAGTCAATTCAGATTCAGCGACCCCCAATTGGGTTTCCAAGGCTATATATCTTTATGGACCCAGACTACCTCATCCTTTTTCACGGAGTGGCTGGTGGATTCAAACCACTTATCTTTTGGTTAGCAACTAAATGCCTTAACCACTGCAGTACCAGAGCTCCTTGAGTCCCACCGAGGTGGCTTCAGTTCTCTCTGTTCTTAAACTCCAAGGCTTTTGTAGTTAAACAACCAGGCTCTTCCTTCTCCCCTGCACATCAGCACAAAAGCTCAGGCAGGTGGTAACTCCCTTTCTTTAGACCTTCTTTCTTCCCATGTGTTGCCTCAAGTATCCAATTTAACTCCAAGTTTAAGTAAGGCCCAGTCCACACCAGAGTCTATGGAATCTGCCTTCTGACATTAGCAAGACAGACAAGTCCTCTTGGGACTTCAGATTGTCAGTTTTTCTCCTTTATATCTTTGCTTTCACTGTGAAAAATATTGTCATATTATTAAAGTTCTTTTGAGAAAAGAACCATTCACTCTTAATTCTATCACCTAATATAATTAATACATTCCATATTCTTTTAATCTTTATTTTTATATATACAATCTCTAGAATATCATTATAATCATGTTTAATATAAAATCATGCAATATAAAATGTTTCATTTTTTCACATAATATACAGTTATAATGACAACAGAGGTACCCCTTCACTGTGTACATTCCTAATTATTGACCATTTTTGCTGTATGGTTTTCATCTATAAGTTCTATAAAAGCTGAGGCCACATGGTATGTAGATGTCTCTGTTTTCATTAGCTCTGGTGGCACAGTGCCTAAGGCATTTGACTGCTAGTCCAAACCCACCAGCCACTCTGCAGAAGGAAGACTGGGCAATCTACTACTGTAAAGATTTACCACCTCAGAAACCCAATGGGGGTCACTATGAGTTGGAATCAACTCAATGATAGTGGTTTTTAGTTTTGCATTTATAAGGCAGCCATTCAAAATGGGTTGGGACGCACTAGATCTCACAGCCTGAGAAATTCTTAGAGTGAGATAGGGTGGTGCGTAGTAGAAATTCGCTATTTTGCACCCAAGTTAAGTGGAGACGTGCTGCTTAATGTCATCTGTCTCCAACCATAGACTAAAAAAAAAAAAGAAACTTATTGCCATTGAGTCAGTTCTGACTCATAGCTACCCCTGTTGGGTTTCCAAGGTTGTAAATCTTTTTTTCTTTTTTCAATGATTGAATGTTTTTTAAAAAAATTTTATTGTGATTTGAGTGAAAATTTACAGAACAAATTCATTTTCCACACAGCAGTTCATACACATTTTGTCTCATAACATTGACTGCAATTCCCCACAATGTAACAGCTTACTTCCCACTTCCTCCCCATAGTTACCTCTTCCCTGTGTCCTTCGCTCCCGTGCACTCCTGCCACCTGCCTGTCTTCCTGTGCAAAAACTGCATTTCTGTTCTCTCATAATTGATCACTCCAAGTAGTATATCTACCTGGTGTAAATCGTTAGCCCGTATGCCTGTCTATTATTTGGCTGGAAGCCACAGGAGTGAGGTTGATTCCAGACCTAAAGGGTAGCTAGGGACCATAGTCTCAGGGGTCTCACCAGCCTGTATCAGACCAACAAACCTGGTCTTTTTTTTTTTTTTTAATGATTTTGAGTTTTGTTCCACATTGTTCTCCCACTCTGTCCAGGATCTTCTGCACCAATTCCCCTCCAAGTGGTTGACAGTGGTAGCCGGGCACCATGTAGTTCTTCTGGTCTCATGGTCATGTAGGCTGAGGATCATATGGTGTACCAGTCCCTTGGACTGATTGTTTCCATGCATCTTTGGTTTTCTTCATTCTTCTTTGATCTGGATAAGGAGACACCCATTGTTGCATCGAGATGTCCACTTACAAGCTTTTAAGACCCCAGTCACTACTCAACAAAGTAGGCAGTAGAACAATGTTTTTGTATAGTATGTTATGCCAGTTGAGCAATGTCTCCTGTGACCATGGCCTCAACCCCACAGGTCCAACTACTCACTCCCTCTAGGTAGCTGCCTGTGGCCAGGAAGTCACCACAATCTTGTGCCTTGTCAGCTCTACTACACACCTGGACATTCTTACCGCACATACAAATATGCTTGCAGAAACATTGTCTGCCAGCCCCCTATACATGGTTGTGGACACACTACCCCCTGCCAAGGCTGTAAATCTTTACAGAAGCGGACTCCCTTATCTTTCTCCCTCCAAGTGGCTGGTGGGTTCAAACCACCAGCCAAATGCCTTAACCACTGCACCACCAGAGCTCCTTTCAATAGACTCTCGTGCCTTAAAAGCACTTCTTTATTAGCCCTTATGCCAAAATTCCGTGGGAGGGGTATAACGTATGTACTAAAAATTACTTCTGTCTCTTCCTTCACACATAAAGGGAAAACTTTGGCAGCAGAAGAGAATGCTGTATTCTTCTTTAATTTTTTTTTTTTTTTGGTTATTTTTCCAGTTCTCTGTGCATTTATATCAATAACAATTAATGAGAACTAACAGCACTGAACATCATTTAGGGACAGAGAAACACAAAAGATTGGAGGAGCTCACACTCCAGTGGGGAAGTGGGAAGAAATGGTTATAATTAATCTTGAACATTATCCCCAACTCTGGTAGAGAGGCATCTGAGCTTGAATCTATGGAAACATTGATTGAGTGTCATTTCACCTAAATACAACTCCTCTGATTAGGACTTTGAAGTTCTTAGTGAAATATAAACACTTAAAAACCAAGATGGGGGAAATTCTCTTAGGGGTTTCTTTATTAGCAAATGATTTAAATGTAGGGAAGAAATATAGGGTGGTATTTGTCCTTATAGAGAGCCAGAATGCAGTCCTTCTTGCCAAAATATATTTCTTGAATTACTTGTGTAAGGTAAATGAATGGCTAGATGGCTAGATAGGTTAAGTAGGTAGATAGAAGGAAAGAAATTATATCTGAATAAAAACCAACTACACTGAGGCATTAGTATAGTGAAAAAATTACAACTTAAAATATAAAATGATATATGGTCTACTTGGAATAACTCTATAGATTCCAGTTCATTGCATTTTAAACTTTTCAAATTATTTTCAATGCTGTAAAGCTGACTAAAAGTCACCAGGAAAGTTCAGTGTTCAAGAAAAAATGAGATTGTGAATTGAGAGTTTTCAACAAGTTAGGTGGGAAAGAGTTTGCCATTGAGTTCCTGTAGTGAGAGAAAGAGACCAAGAGGAAGGTGGTGAGGGTCACCATCCCCTGACCTGCCCTCTGTGAGATCAGCAAGCCTGTGAGGTCTGGATCACATAAAGGAGTATTCAGAAGTGGAGGGAGCTGGTATGACCAGGGAGGAAGCAGCCATCCCTCCTCGGCTTCCCCAGTGCCCTTTGCACTATGAGCTAGAATATGAATCAAATGCTGGAGTGTTTCTGTCATCTCCCAGCTACAGGGCTGCTTTCCTGACACAGCTTATGAATACTTTAAAACTGAACACTGAGTTATCTGAGCTGGAAAGGGACATTACTGTTTTCCAATTGCTTTATCCAGCCATGCCTTGCATTCCTCACTGCCCAGTTGGTGTTGGGAGTGGTCAGTTTACTCACAGTCATCCTGTCCTCCTGGTGGAGTCAGTCAGGGCTGCCTTTCCTCCGTTTGTATCATCTTGTAATGCGCCACCATCTTCGCAGTGCGAACGTCATTGGATGTTGGAACAGAAACTACCTGGGAAATAGAAGTCAGTGCTCGGATCCGCCCCGCCACAGACACTGGGGTGCTGCTAGCGCTGATGGGAGAGGATAACACCGTTCCCCTCTCTGTAGCCCTGGTCGACTACCACTCCACAAAGAAGCTCAAAAAACAGGTATGACTGGCTCCTGCCACCTAGCACTGAGTTCCTGAAATCTCTAGCATCTGAGTGAACCAGTGTTTTGGTTACCTCTAGTGCTGCTCTAACAGAAATACCACAAATGAGATGGCTTGAACAAACAGGAATTTATTGTCTTATAGTTTGGGAGGCTAGAAGTCCGAGTTCAAAGTGCCACACTCTAGGGACTGGGTGAAAGTCCTCAACCTTAGGCTTTAGCTCTGCCTCTTGCTCCCTGCCCACTGGAGCTGAAGGCATCTCCTCACGCTGGCAGCTGCTAACTGCTGAGGCTGGCAAACCCAAGGTTAACAAGTAAAATGGCACAGTCCCAAAATTATCAAACCACATGGCAGGCCACTGATGCAAGTCCATTAATAGTCCCAAGATCCGCAGAAAACATGGCAGCCTGCTGAACGATGACTCAGCTACATGCAGGATTCAAGTATGCCAAAAGCTGGAGAGGCCTTTCTCAAACCTTCTCCTTATATACTGGAAGCAGCCCACATCCCTAAGGCAGCTACTCAGCTGCTCCAGTAGATTCCACCATGGAGTTCATTACCAGTCTCATCATGGACAATAACTACATCCCGCTGCCAAGCCACTCAAAACCAGTCCCAGCCAAGTTGACACATAACCTTAATTACCACAACCAATATGTAGCTTTTTTACTCCTCAAGCATCACAAGCTTTAAAACTCTTTTCCTTTGGGTCAAATTACCCGATCTTTCCCCTGCCTCTTGCAAGTGTAATTCCATCCTAGTAAGTCCAAACAGTTAACCACTGAGCTACAAACTGAATGCTTGGCAGTTTGAGCCTATTCACAGATGCCTCAGAAGAAAGAACTGGTGATCTGTTTCCCAAAAGTCAGAGACTAGAAGACTGTATGGAGCAGTTTTCTGCACACATGGGGTCACCATGAGTCAGAATTGACTTTTTGGCAACTGGCTGGGTTTGTTTTTGTTTTTGAAAGTCTATGACCAGAGGTTTAATTAGCCAAGTTTGGCACAGGATGCCCTTGGCTTTGGGGGATATTGTTAACATGAGATCATCTCAATACAATTGCAAGTCAGAGCCATTGTTGGCAGAGGTAGCAGGTGGCACTCGACCAGAGATCTGCAACCAGCAGCCTGAGAGCTAAAGTTGGCCCACAGATGCAGTGAGGTTGTTTTTATTTTTTTGGGGGTGGGGTGGGGGGTGGCTACACAGTGTTGGCCAGCACAGTGGTTTAGAACAATTTGAATTAGGTGCTAATATGTAAAAGTCAGATGATTTCACAAACACATTTAGGTTTCTAGTTTCTCTTAAAAAATCAAATCTGCTAACATTGGACCATGTCCTCTAATAGCATCATTCTCTCATAGTGACACCAGGCAGAAGTCAGTGTGGCTGCCCCTTGAGACACAGCCCGCCCTTTCCACTTTAACACAGTCCCCACCACTCCCTATTATATCCCTGACACTAAGTCAACTATGTTTTATCATTGTACTTGCCCTTTTTTTTCTCATAGAAGAATTAAAAGGAAATATAAATACATTGTGTTCTCTTACCTCCACCAAAAGTGGGGTACGTGTTCACCAATTCTGCTTGACTTGTTGACACCATCTGCCTACCTTCAAAGACAATTGGGTTCTTCTGGGTACCTGGACTAGACAGTAACTGCGAGTAACAGGTTTGGTTTAAAGTGAAAGATCTATGCATTATCTAGGAATGATTTTCAAACCCAGAGAGCCAGCATTTGAAATGAACAGATAAGAGTTACTAAATAGCAATGGTGACAGCTTCCCCTCAGTGGGGAAAATGAAGGGGATGATGGGTGAGCCTGCATGGATTGTATCAAAGATGTCTTGCCGCCCTGTGTGAGCATGCCCTACAGGCTGGCAGTGGGCCTGGGCTGCTTCCTTGGATGTTTGTGTTTTGCTGACAGCCAACCCACCTTTACTGCTTGATTTCAGCAGCTTCTTATGGCGGGTAGGATTCATACAGAAACTGAAGCAGCATCATGTGCTCCCTGTCATACAAACACTAGTAAATCAGTTTTAATTACTTTCAGTTCAGACTGTGTGAGTGGCTAGAAAATATGATTTTGACCACTCCTGACTCCTGGCCCTAAGATAACATTCTTTTTTCTTTTTTTCATTGCTCATAATTTACTGAATTATTTACAGCATGAAGGAGGCTTTCAGTTGACATTGTGTTAAGATTGTCCAGAAAAAGGCTAGTAGTATCATCCTCAATGTTTTTTTTTCCTTTTTTTTTTTTTAATTGTGATTTGGGTGAAGATTTACAGAGCAAATTCACTTTCCATACAGCAGTTCACATATACTTTGTCTCATGTCATTGGACATTCTTTTTTCCAGTCATTCAGTATCAGATTTGGAAGGAACCATGGAAACTTTCTGGTCAGTCTCCTCATTTTACACATACAGAACTGAGTCCCAGAGAGGTGAAGTGACTTACCCACAGTCATCAAGCTGCAGAATCAAGACTAGAACTCAGGTTTCCAGAGTCCTAGGCACACATGCAGGGCTGCAAGAAACATCCACCACCAAAGAAAAGTATGTAGCTTTGTAAGAAAGAAGAAGGCCTCTTAGGACACAATTTTTAACCCAGAGTGTAAAATATTCCTTCATGCAATTTGCAGTGGTTCACATGTAAGAGTGATGATGGTTTTCTGACAACCTCATGAATTGCCGCTCTGGACCACTCCTTTTTTTTCAGTACATATTTTTATTGTCATTATTATTATTATTATTAGTTTTTATTGTGATTTGGGTGAAAATTTACAGAGCAAATTCATTTTCCATACAACAGTTCACATATACTTTGTCTCATGACATTGACTACAGTTTCCCACAGTGCAACAGCTCTCTTCCCACTTCCTCTCCATAGTTACCTCTTCCCTGTGTCCTTCCCTCCAATGCACTCGTGTCCCCTGAGCTGTCTCCAAGGAGTGTATCTACCTAATATAAATATTCAGCTCATATGCCTGTCTTTTGTTTGGCTGGGTTCAATTTCAGACCTGAAGGCCAGCTAGGGGCCATAGTCTCAGGGGTTCCACCAGGCTATATCAGAATAGCAAACCTGGTCCCTTTTTTTTTTTTTTTTTTTAATGATTTTGAGTTTTGTTCCACATTGTTCTTCCACTCTGCCCAGGGTCTCCTACATAGATCCCCCTCTGAGTGGTTGACAGTGGTAGCCGGGCACTGTCTAGTTCTTCCAGTCTCATAGTTATATAGGCTGAGGATTGCATGGTGTACTAGTCCCTTGGACTAATTGTTTCCATGCATCTTTGATTTTCTTCGTTCTTTTTTGCTCTGGATGGAGGAAGACCCATCTCATTGCATCTAGATGGCTGCTTGCGAGCTTTTAAGATCCCAGTCACTACTTGCCAAAGTACAAAGTATGTTATGCCAATTGAGCTTGATGTCCCCTGCAACCATGTGGACCACTCCTTTTTCTCCTGCATCCTAAGATTTGCTTCTTGCCCCTTCAGCTGGTTGTCCTGGCCATCGAGAATGTCTCCCTGTCCCTGATGGAAATCAAGGTCTGCGACAGTCAGGAGCACGTAGTGACAGTCTCTGTGAAAGAAGGGGAGGCAACCCTGGTGGTTGATGGTACCAAGGGCCAGAGTGAAGTGAGCCCTGCCCAACTGCAGGAGAGACTGGCTGTGCTGAAGAGGCACCTGCAAGACTCTGTGCACACATTTGTGGGGGGAATCCCAGGTAGGGCCTTGCAGATGCGTGTTCTGGAGGTGGGTGGGATTGGCTGTGGCAAGCCCCTGCCTGTTGGTTCTAACCATCCCCAGTGTGTTTACCCCATGTCAGCCTTGGACAAAAGTTGGCATTTCTAATAGTAACTGTTGAACTCTGTTTTATTTTTTAAGGGGAAGAGAAAATATAGGTATGTTTATTAACTGATCATTATGATGCCTCAATATTTTTATCAGCAGGGAACTCAGTCAAGGCTGAGAAAATAAATTACTTGGGTAATAATTAGCTTGAACTAAGTCCTCACTTTCCCTTGACTCTTCAAGGAGTATCCATCTGAAAATACCCAGCAGACAGCCTACGTTTAGCCAATCACAGCAGACAAGGCAATAGTTCAACAGAGACTGAACAGACCTCGGGCAATGCGGGAGCCCAGAGACTGAGCCAGGGGCCAGGCCTTGCCCTGCAGGTTGTTCCTGCTTCTGTGAGCAGCTCATAACATAGCCACCAGCCTGTCTTACATCTAGCAGAGATGGCATAAAGGATCAGGACACTGCTGGCTTACACAAAGTCAAGGGAATGGACTTCTATCTTAAGTTAAGAATATGCTTGTCCATGGCTGTGAGCTACCTGATCAGGGTAAGATGGGTAAAAGGCAGATCAGAGCCAGGTGCTTATATAAGTCCTGGTTACCTCCCATTGGTCAGCACAGGTCTTTACTTGCAGCAAGTGGCAGATGACTGGGGATTTCTGGCATGGCTACCAGACACAAGCTTCATTTTGTTTTAATAAACAAAGCTTTGAAGAGGATGAGATCAAGCTGTGAAGCCCTGCAGCATGAATGACTCATGTTGGGCCAATAATAAGATAATATTTATTTAATTGATTTGACTATCTGGGTGTACTTCCTAGGGGGGAAGAAAGAGGGTGGCTTGCCAAAAACTGGGCTGGCAAATGTTTGATTCTTGGCTGCCAGGGTACTTAGCCGAAATGGGCATAGTGATGTATTAGATGGAAAGGAAATCCATGCCACTTGAAGACAAATGTCAGGGATTGGCCAGCGAGTGCTACTGTGGAGTGGACACAAAGCAGGGAGGGCAGCAGAGGAGAAAACTGAACATTCCATGTTGGAAATAATCAAAGGGATGCGAGGGCCACATTCCTTCCAGACAGCATGGGCTGCTAAAGATGGTTTTTTGTTCTTTTCCCATTCACCCAGATGTTCCCGTGACTTCAGCACCAGTCACGGCATTCTACCATGGCTGCATGACTGTGGAGGTCAACAAGAAAGCCCTGGACTTAGACGAAGCCGTGTACAAACACAGTGACATTACGTCACATTCTTGTCCTCCGATTGAGCACGCTGCCCCATAGACTGCACAGCTACAGGGCACACATTTTATAAGAAACTCTTCATGCTTTTATTTTAAGAACAACAACAACAAAAAGAAAACAGGGAAGATATAAATTATTCCAACTCCCCTGCACTGTGTATGTATTGTTTCTTTAAAAACACTGAAGAGGGTGGGAGCTGCTGATCATCACAAGTTGAGTTTATCATTGACATATTTGTTTGCCATGTAATATATTTGTAAATAGTTGAGAAAACTAATATTAATGATCTCAGACCATACACTCAAACTCCCAAGTGTCCTGAAGTGAGAGCTGAGTTTGTACAAAGATAATCAGAGTCTGGAAGATGGGAGACTGATTACATATCAAAGTAGACTTGAAGAAAATAATTCTCTATTATTTTTATTACCAAATGCTTCTTTCTGACTTAAGAAATATGGGGAAATAAAATATTTACAGAAAACTTTTTAACTCTTGCATGGGTAGTTGTTCTTTTCTTTGTTTTTGGTTTGTTTGTTTCAGTAATTAGCAGCACTCGGGGTGAAAGGATATTGACAACACAATCAATGCACGTATTTTGTCACTGAAGGATGTTCATGTACTCTGGTTCTTAACTGCTGAGTGCTGGGTGGCACGATTCTGGGTTGACACTGGTTGTGGCTGTCTGTTCTGTGGGGAACTGTGTTTCTGATCCCTGTGGTGGTACAATGCCTAAGGCATTTGACTGCTAACCAGAAGGTTGGTGGTTCAAACCCCCAGCTGCTCCGCAGAAGGAAGATGAGGAAATCTACTTCTGTAAAAATTGACCACCTTGGAAAGCCAATGTGGGTTGCTATGAGTCAGAATCCACTCAGTACCAGTGGGTTTTGAGTGGGTGATGGTGACAGTGGGGAGACTAGAGTCAGCGGGACCTGGGTTCACAAGCGACTACAGCTGATACACTATGTCACCTCAAATGTTATTAAGGCTCAGTTTCCTCTCTGTATAAATGGAGATAAACAGCTGCTTGATGTAATCAGCAAAAATGTATTGTGCATGGGCCAGATACTGTGTTGGGCAAACAAAGATGAGGAAGCCCTGGAAACACTTCTATGGGTGGGAGTTAGTTGTTGTTAGATGCTGTTGAGGGGATTTTCGACTCATAGTGACTAAACTGCTTCAAGGGGTCTTCTTAGCTATAGTCTCTTAGGCGGAGCCACTGGGTAGGTTTGAACTGCTCACCTTTCTGTAAGCAGCTGAGCACTTAACCATTGTGCCACTGGGGCTCCTGGTGAAAATGTAAGACATAGAAACACTAGATGGTCCCAGTGACCCTTGAGAGCCAGAGGAGTACCTCCAGGCCAGGCCAGGATTGTGCTCTGAGGCAATGCAGACCACTGGGAGGTTAAATAAAATAATACAGGGTCAGCGCCCCGCACACAGACGTTTCATCCTAGTTTCCCTTCCCCCTCCCTGCACAAGTCCTTCATTTCTTGGCCTCACAGTTTCTCTTTTTAAAAAGGACAATGGAACACTAGGCTACCTAGCAAAAGGTTGGCAGTTCGAACCCAGCCAAAGGCACCTCAGAAGAAAGGTCTGGAGATCTGCTTCTGAAAGGTGACAGCCACAAAAACCCCAGTTCACTCTGCATGTGTGGTGCTGCCGTGAGTCAGAATTGACTCGACAGCAACTGGTCGGTTGGTTTTAAAAAGGAAAATGCTCTATTTCAGAAGGCTGTTAGAGCTGAAAGGGCACTTAATCTGATGTAGAACACAGACCGAATCAGGAAATCCTGGTTTCTATGTTCAGCTTTCCCACTGAACAGTTGTTTTACTTGGTAAGCCTCAGTTCCTCATCTGCAAATGAGGGGGTTGGAATAGATAATTACTTAATGCTCTTTGACTCCAACAGGCTATAATTTTCTAAAGAAAGGATGAAGATGGCAATAGCAAAACCCCTGCAAGCCAACTATATTAAAATTATGTTGAGAAATAGACTCCGTCCCCACATCCTAGGAACTCATTCCTTACAAGGGTAACAAGAACTATGCACAAACAACAAAAATTACAAAAAGGTCTTTGGGTAGAAAAAGCTGCTTTTATTTGGTCCCAAGGGGAAGACTAAGCCTAATGCTTTGAAGCTACAATGAGATATTTGAGTTTAGTGCAAAGGCTGTCTAGAGAGACAATGCCTGGCCTCCCTGGCTAGTGTGTGCCCATAGCCAGAAGGAGCCAAATGGAGGCTAAGCAACCACTTGGTGGGTCCTAGAGAAGATTCCAGCATTTGGTGGGATTTGGACTAGATGAATGAAGATTCTTTGAAGTCTGAGATTCTATTCCTTTGTACCAAACCCCAAAGTATGTTCTGAGGAAGTCTGCAAGATTATGGTTTTGTTAACTTTTAGATCTTGCTTCACAAACGGCAGTAAAGTAGCTCACAGTCCCCATTTCACTACAGAAGTTATGGAATTAATTCCTAAAAGCTGCCTCGATCAAGAACAGAAATGGGTAATCTGAGTTCTGGCAGAAGTCATAATATGGCCCAGCGATAAGCAGGATGGAGAAGGAGGGATAGAAAACCCCAAAGAACTCTCATATGAAAAACAAATTTGACAATAGCTAAGATGAAAAGGAAGAGAAAACTCTTTCACATATCTAGGAAAGAGGTTATGGCTATATGGAACACCATGGAAGCCCCCTGGGAGTCACAAAGTTGAATAAATCCTGAATGGGCCCCAGACTCCTAGAGCCAGGCTGAAAGGGTCCAAAGTCCTTCTTAACCTCATGGCCCCAGAACACCTTCCAATAGGTGGGAAACATCTTACACTACACTTGTTATTGTTAGCTGCTGTCCAGTTGGCCTCTGACTTGTGGTGACCCACAACTCATTGTGACCCCATGTACAACAAAATGAAACACTGCTTGGTCATGCACCATCCCCATGATCAGATGCAGATTGGACCATATGATCTATAAGGTCTTCATTGACTGATTTTTGGAAGTAGGTCACCAGGCCTTTCTTCCTAGTCTACCCTGGTCTAGAAGTTCTGCTGAAATCTGTTCAATATCATAAGCAACATGCAAGCCTCCGCTGATAGATGGGTGGTGGCTCCGCATTAGATGCATTGGGCAGGAATCAAACCCGGGCCTAGCACACAGACAGTGAGCATTCTATCAATGAACCATGAGTGCTCCCTCTAGCCTGTGCTTAGGAGTTGGTAATCACAGAAGCCACTCGAGAAGGACCAAAGGTACAAAAATGGCTTGCCCCAGGACAAGCAGTGATGGCAGAGTTGCCACTCAAGCCTAAGACCCCTTAGTGTCCCAGCAGAGCACTATCCACTCTGCTGCCCAGAATTAGCCTGGATTAGTCACATCAAGAGTCTCTGTTCCCCAACAGTCACTATGGGTTCTTGGCACATTTGCCCTTGTACCCCTGAGGCTCCTGTTAACCTGAATCTACTTTCTCTACCCTTCAGGCCATGGCATCCAACCACATGTCTGGACCGTGTGGGGCACCATCTCCACCCAGTCCCATCATCTTCTGAAGGCATGGCACAGCTTGCCAGGGCTTCGCTGTGTACATTCCTTTGCATTTGTTCTTTCTAAAGTTTTGGCAGCGTCTTAGTATAAAAGTTCTGTTGACTTAAAACCTCAGATTAGTAGTCTAAGAGGTTACTCAGGTAATTTTCCATATTGGCACCATGAAAAACAAAGTGACAAATGGAAGTAGTTGGTCTCTGATAGCAAACATTCATTAAGTCCCTGAGCTGCTCATGCCTATATCATTATCAATGTACACATTTAACCATTGTCTCTATGTTATTTTGTGCTATCTAGTTGATTCTGACTCATAGCAACCCTATAGGACAGATTAAAACCGCTCCATCGTGTTTTCTAGGCTTCAATCTTTACAGGAGCGAATTACCAGGTCTTTTCTTCTGTGGAGAAGCTGGTGGGTTGGAACTGCCAATTTTTCAGTTAGCACCCAAGCACTTTAACTATCTCACCACCAGGGCTCCTTAATGTCCCTGTAGTTGACGTGATTGTTTTTCACCCAATCTCTTCTAATAGCGGGGGCTCTGGTGGCATAGTGCCTAAGGCATTTGACTGCTCACCAGAAGGCTGGAAGTTCATACCCACCAGCCACTCCTTGGAAGGAAGGTTGGGCAATCTACTTCCGTAGGGATATCCTCTTGGAAACCTAAGGGGTCGCTATGAGTCGGATCCAACTCGATGGCAGTGAGTTTGGTTTTTTTGGTTTTCTTCTAATAGCAGTGCCATAGCTTTTCCTCAAAGAAAACATCCTTTTCCTAATCTTGGACCAGGTTTATGACCAGGGCAGACATGTGGTTCAGGATCATACCAATAAGTGGATCCCAAATCTAGTCCCACTGTACCTGGTTCTGTGATGAGCAGGTGACTTGATTGGGATGAAGAGAGTCAGGTTTTCTTGGAGAAGAGAATTCTCTTCTCACTGGCCTTAGAATTGTGAGGACATAAGCTTTGAGCTGTTCATCTGGAGGTAAGAGAATCCAGCCAAGGTAGTAGCTCTAGTTACTGGGGACTTGGATATGTAATCAGAAGTCTAAAACATGGATGCTATTTATTTACTAAATAGGAGATCTAACTTAGACCATGATGGGGCCCTCTCCCCGGAGCCAGCTGAGCACTTAGACAGTGTGGTTCCTCCAGTGGCCTCTAGGGGATGAATCACCCTGTGCTGCCCACTCATATTGCCTCCAAGAGTCCAAACCCATTTTGGAGGCCTGATCCATTCCTCTACCTAGCCACTAAACAAAGTCACCATACCATTTCCCTGAGTGCTTTCTGGTTTTCGTTCACTGTGGAGGTATCTCTGAAGTATTCTCGTGGAATGCTCCCCTGGCTGACTGGAAGCCTTCTTGTTGGCCAGCCCTAATTCTGAGAAAGCCAAGATAGCCAAGAGCAGACGATGACAAATCCTGAATTTTGGGGTCAGGATCACTCTTGAACCCATACAGAAACAGAATGCAAAGGCCAGCATCTCAGATTCAGCAGCTG